TACCAAAATATGCTTCATATTTGAGGAATGGTCGTATTCATTTCTCACTGGGTTATATGGTTGTGATATTCGCTAGATATGTGGCAACCGCATTTCAAAACCATTTGGAGGTTTAAATGATAAGTGTCGTTCTTAAGCAAAATAAAATTGAGGTAATTAATATGAAATATAATTATATATGCATTCACATAATACAAACAATATATTAACATGAATATACAAATTAATACAATACAGATTTATATTAATTTTTAATTTAAATAATATTTTGAAAGTTGTATTTGTTTCATTTTCATTTCGTTTCAGTCGTTAGCGCTGCCAATCAACTAAAATTTTGGTTTTGCCTTGACGTTTGCTCGCTCAACTGTGGAAACGTAAATAATAAAACAACAAACAAGATAAATAGAAATGACAAGCAAGAAAACATAAATTAAAAACTTGTTAATAATAGACGGACAAGTGCTTGATAAGATATTAAAGCAAACTAACCAGTCAATAAAAACTTGTTTGCGATAAACTAAAATAGTTCATTATTAACTGCGGTGCATGTGAGTTGCGATATTCGCGTTTGTTAATTTGCTTCACAAATTAATTTAATTAATTAAATAATTTATTTTAGAAAAATGTTTGCTGTTCCCGGTCGTGCATTGCATTTCGTATTTAAAATTGGAAATCGTGCAAAGAATGCATTCTTCTTCCGAAATATACTGGGCATGGTGGTAAGTGAGAAGCAGCCTCCTCGCCGGCAAGCGAAGTTCCACAAAATACCAAAAAACGCAATAAATTTGACTTAATTTTAAATTAATTAAAGTTTTAATTATAAGCGTAAACTGTACTTAGAATATTTTGATTTTATTTGATGCAAAAATAATTATTTCTATCTGATTGTACTTGTGTGTGTGTAGTTGTTGTTGTTGTTGTTGGATTTTTAAGTGCTCCGCAGTTACGTGCTGAGATTGTGCTTGCGTTGTTGTTGTTGTTGTTGTTGGTTTTCTAGATAAATCTCCGCCACTTGAAAAAAATTTTTCGAAAGTTATTCAATTTAATTGCTTTTTTTTCTAGGTGCTGCGTCACGAGGAGTTCACGGAAGGTTGCCCCGCGCAATGCAATGGGTAAGTCGGAATGCTTTTGAATTTTAGGTATAAATTTACATTTAATTAATTGCAGGCCCTATGACAATCGCTGGAGCAAGACGATGATTGGTTATGGCCCAGAATCGTCGCACTTTGTTTTTGAATTAACCTACAACTACGGCGTCACCAGCTATAATATAGGTAGATAGTCTCACTCTCATTAACAAATCATGTCAAGTAATTGTTTACGTTTTTGAGCTTGTGAAAATGCAAATGAGAAACTGCATTCATTAGTCATTGGTTTTTCCCCACACAATACAATAAGTTTTATTATATAAAACTTTTTATTTAGTAGCTTTTGGTCTCAATTTGCTTTGGATCTTAAAAATACTAAATTGATTATTTATACTTAATCTGTATTTTTATGAGTTATTTTTCGTCTGCTTGTATTTTCTGTAAAGACGCCTAACTGCGTCGTGACAGTTTAACAAAATTAATTCCATGACGAGAGCAATTTCATATATCTTGGAACGTAAAGCATATTGTATGTTTATCAAATAATGGACCAAATGATTACTTTATCATCATCTTATGGAATTCATTCCAAGGTGCAAGCAAATAAATTCTCCAGATTGTGTTCGTGTGACGAAAGAGAACTGTAGGTTTCAAATGCGGTCATGTTTTATTCCATGGCTAACAGCACAACATTGATTGGTTGTTGCACTTGAAGAACATTCATAAAATATATTTGCTACGGGAGCAATATAGTAGTATTAGTATATATATATAACTATACAGTAGTATATTAAT